GGGCAGCGCGTGGGCCGCGCGGGGCAGGGTGTGAAGGTGGCGGGGGGGCCGGGGCCGCGCTGGTGCGGAGCCCGCCCCGGGCCTGTGCTCCCCTGGGCCCGGTGGCTCCGGGAGCCGAGGGCACAAGGGCGCCATTGAGCGGGGCCGTCCCTGCGCTGGGATCTTCCCCAGGACCCTTCCGCAGGGGTCAGGAGCGGCTGCGGGGCCGGCCTCCGCCAGGCGCTGCTGCCGGGCTCTCCCTGCGCTGAGGGGAGGAGGGGCTGGGGCTCTGGGTTGGGCGAGGAGCCCAGGCCCGAACGTTCCCTGCTGAGTGCCCCTGGAGGAGGGGGTGATCAGCAGGGACCCTCTTGAGAGCATTTCCCCGCGGCATCCAGACCCCACAGCCTGCTCGCTCTGCAGAGCAGCACCACCAGCTTGGGGCCCTGCGGGGAGCATGGATCAGACCAGCACAGACACGGTTCCCTGGGGAAAACCTGGGAAGAAAGAGGCATGGGTGTCCTCGGAGAGGAGCAAGGGAGCAGTTCTCTCCTTCCCAAGGGTAATGAATGACTCAGAGGAAACTTCTTCCTGCCTACTGCAGCTTGGGATAGGCTGCCCTTTCACTGGGGCAGCAGAACAGCCAGAGGAGTCCCAGGGCCAGGAATCTTGTGCTGGGGAGAGGGGCTGGCAGAGCAGGGCTGCCAGCAGCTGCCAATAAGGATCTCTTGGAGACAAGGCCAGCAGGCGCAGGGTGGCTCTGTGTCCCCATGCTATGGCTGGTCCTCAGCTCTGGGGCTGATCTCTCAGCTCCCCAGGATCTGCTGTGCCTTTCTGAGGGGCTGGGGCCATGGTGCGAGTGCCCAGAGCTCTGCAGCACCCTGTGGTGGGCGCTGCCATGCGGCCTGCCCAGACTGGGCTGCTCTGGATGGGGGAGAGGGCAGGAGACGTGGAGAGAGCTAGGGAGAGCCTGGGCTGGGTAGAAAGTGTCTGGGAGAGGAGAACAGCCAAGTAGAGCTCAGCTGTTTGAGCGTGCACAGTGAAGGCACCTAGCGGGGTGCTGACGGTGCAGAGTTAGGTGACACAGTGAAGGAAAGAAGGCACCAAAGCTGCAGAGGAGAGAGGCCTGGGGATCTGTGCCATGTTCCCCAGGGCAATTTTCCCTGAGCACCTCACACACCAGCCATTTCCACCTCTGGCCATGCACCCCAGCCCTGAGGAGGAACTTTTGCTGCATGGGCCCCCTCATCCTCCTCTTTGTGATACCCAACTCCACTGCCATTGTTAATGAATAGAACACTAGTTGCCTCTTGACACTCGTTACACACCAAGTCCCACAGCTTTTCTCACATCTGGACTCTCATCCAAGCACATTCTTAGGCAGCTCCAGCATGCTCAGGTGCTCTTGCCCTTTCTCAAGAGATACTGAAAAACTCTTTTGGTTTAGATCCCACCAAGTCGCCTGGGTGGCTTTCACAGCCACATCCCACCTTGGATTTCCCACCTGCAGGCAGTGCCTCTGACTTCCTGCTTCACCAGCCCCCGGGGACGGTCTCCATGCCTGGTCATTCCCTGCATGGTCTATTTCAGTGTTGCTCCTCAGTCAGGCTTTCTAACACCCTCAGAAACTTGAAGGTTTGCTGCTGAATTTTACTTCTCTAGAGGCTTTTTGACCTGTCATCATCATCTTCTGTTCAAGAATTCAGTACCAGCAAGCTCATGAACATTCACAACACCTTAACAAGCCAAGCCTCTGGGAATAATTTAAGTCTTCTAAACCTTACGCGGTTAAGTGGAGAGCTTTCAGGAGTGCAGTCAAAGTGAAAGTAGTTTATTTTCACAATCGGAACAGCAATCAGAAAATATTCAAGTTTCCCCCACCCCCCCTTTTTTTTTTTCCTGTTTACACCTTCTGTGATGTCAGCAAACTCCAGCTGTTCTTGATCCTGAGCATCCCCTGATGCAGTCTGAATGCAGATGGAAACCAAGGCCCTTTTATGTCCCACAATCTGCCGGTCTTTGTCCCCACCTCCACCCCCACCATTTCCCTCCCTGAACTCCTGGGACTCAAAGCACCTTGTTCAAATCGGAGCTGCCGCCACTGAAGGCTGTGGCAGCAAGTTCCAGCCCCTTGGCAACAACTCCCACCTGTGTCACTTGGGGAAAGAGCTGCCCGCAGACACAGGAGGATGTTTCTTAATGACCAATAAACCAAAACAAAGCAAGGTACACTTCAATGAAAAATAAAATGCATTCCTTTGCTGTCCACATTGCCACCCCTGAAGTCCACTTCCCACAGCAGATAACCTTAGACCAATGGAACCACCTTCTGTGATGGGCCCAGACCCCAAGATTCCCCCAAAGCCCTCCTGCAGGCAGGGATGAGAGTTCTCCTCTAACCCTGGGCACCGGCTCCTCCTCCAGAAGCGCTCCTGGAGGTCCTGGGTCACATTTCCCAGTCCCACATGGGGTCTTCAGCTGCTTCAGTCTGACTTGGAAGCCGTGCCCACCTTGGTCTGGGCAACTGAATCAACTCCTGGATGGAGAAGTCAGGTATCATTACCGTATCCTTGTCATTCTGGTTGGAAAAGACCTTCAAGATCATCGAGTCCAACCACCACCCTAACTCGGCCACATTCACCACTAAACCCTGTCCCCTGGCACCACATCTGTCTTTTTCGATGTCTCCAGGGATGGTGGCTCAAGTACCTCCTTGGACAGCCTGGATCACCAAGTCCAACTCCCGCCCCAGAACAGGACAACCCCAAAGTTCACACCATTTCCCTGAAGAGTGTTGTCCAAATGTTTCTTGAATACTTTCAGGCTTGGAGCCATTACTGCTTCCCTGGGGAGCCCATTCCAGTGCTCCACCACCCTCTGGGTGAAGAATCTCCTCCTAATGTCCAACCTAAACCTCCCCCTGCACATCTTCCCACCATTCCCTTAGGTCCTATCGTTGGTCACCAGAGAGAAGAGGTTGGCTCCTCCTCCTCCTCCTTCCCTAATGAGGAAGCAATAGCTGCCATGAGGTCTCCCCTCAGTCTCCTCTTCTCCAGACTGAACAGACCAGGTGCCTTCAGCCGCTCCCCGTATGAACTCTAAACCCTTCACCAACCTTGTGGCCTCCTCTGGACACCCTCCAGTAGGTTTATATCCTTTTTGTGCTGTGGCACGCGAACCTGCACCCGGGACTCAAGATGGGGGGGGCCGCACCAGTGCAGAGTGAAGTGGGACAGTCACCTCCCTGGACCAGCTGGCAATGCCATGCTCGATGCGCCCCGGGACTTGGTTGGCCCTCCTGGCTGCCAGGACACACTGTTGGCTCATGTTCAACTGGCCATCGACCAGAAGCCTTGTATGGCATCCCCCCTAAACCCTTCACCAAGGGTTCCTTACAACCCCAGGTCCTTGTTGCCTCCTCACCCACCCCCACACAGCCTGGGAGGTGTCCTGGTGCCTCTTGCACTTAGCATTCTACACCCCCACCTCACAGTACTCCCCAGAAGAGCCATGAGCATCCTGTGACCCAACAGATCATGCAGGGAATGACCAGGCATGGAGACCCTCTCTGGGGGCTGGTGAAGCATTAAGTTAGAGGCACTGCCTGCAGGTGGGAAATCCAAGGTGGGATGTAGCTGTTAAAGCCCTTACTGTGTTTTGTCAAGCAGGATAACCAGGCCCTGGCCCTGGCCCTTGGGGTCCCATCAGGGATGAGTGACTGTGCATTTCTTTCCAGAATGGGTGTTCCCATGATGATGACAGGGAGAGCACTCAGGTTCCCCAGGATCACAGAACTGAGCAGACATAACTTCCATAGAATCATAGAGTCATAGAAAGTTTAGGGTGGGAAGGGTGATGAGCTCTCTCCTCAGCTGCCTTTTCTTCCAACGGAACATCCACAGTTCCCTTTTATGCTCCTCATATGACTTGTTCTCTAGACCCTTCAGCAGCTTGGTTGCTCTCCGCTGAACTTGCTCCAGCCCCTCAATATCCTTCTTATAGTGAGGGGCGCAGAACTGCCAACCAGCTCCCCCAGGGCCTTTTCTGCTGGGCAGCTTTCCCAGGCCAGTACAGTTGTGTGGGGTTTTCTGACCAAAATGCAGGACCCTGCACTTGGCCTTTTTGAACCTCATACAATTGGCCTTGGCCCATCAACCCAGCTTGTCCAGGTCTCTCTGCAGTGCCTTCCTACTCTTGAGCAGATCGACACTCCTACCCAATACAGTGTTGTCTGCAAACTGACTGAGAGTGCACTCAATCCCCTCATCCAGATCACTGATAAAGATATTGAACAAGACTAGCCCCAAAACTGAGCCTGAGGGACACCACTGGTCACTGGCCCCAACTAGATTTAACTCCATTTACCACAACTCTCTGGGCCCGGCCATCCAGCCAGTTTTTTATCCGGTGAAGAGAACACCTGTCTATGCCATGATTTGCCTGCTTCTCCAGGAGATGCTGTGGGAGACAGTGTCAAAGGCCTCACCGAAGTCTAGATAGACAACATGCACAGCCTTCCCCTCATCCAATCGGCAGGGTCCATGCTCATAGAACATGATCAAGTTGGTCAAGCGAGACCGCCCTTTCCGAAGCCCATGCCGGCTGGCCCTGATCCTATGGCTGTCCTGCACTTGCCCTGTGAGCTCACTCCCCTTCTGAGTCTTCATTCACTCCAATCCAAGGGCAGGTGACAAGTGCCCATTCTTTCCTGTTGCCTCCACAGACGTTTCCAGAGAGATGACTAGATGCCATCAGTCCCATCATACATGATGCAGCCTGAGGATGTAGTGTGGACCTGATGCACCATCTCCACATCCATTGGACACCAAGAAGAGAGCCTTGAGAGGAAAATGTTTGATACAATAGAGCCCAATGGTACCGTGCCCATACCCTCAAATGCAGAGAGAATAAACAAAGAGAAAAGACCCCTTAAAGGAACAATTCCTTAAACATATTTTTACAAGAAACACTTTAGAAAGAGCCCATCCTCCAGACACTGTACCCAGGAGGTTTTGTTGGTTTTTTTTATTGGAGAGTCACTACTGGACAGTTCACATCTAAAACAGTGTTGTGCAAGAGTTAGACACAACAGAATCAACCCAGAAAAAAAAAATAAATGTAAAAGTATGATTCTTACAAGTAAAAATGCAGGCTCCTGGCCCAAGATAAGCCCTGGGAAACACGCAGAAAGGGTGAGACAGATTATTGTCAGTGAAACAGGGGCAACTGGGTCAGTTTTAAAAAGGTGACCTTGAGCTCCTTGTTCCTCAGGCTGTAGATGAGGGGGTTCACTGCTGGAGGCACCACTGAGTATGAAATTGCCAAAGCGAGATCTAAGGAAGGGGAAGAGATGGAGGAGGGCTTCAGGTGGGCAAACATGGCAGTGCTGACAAACAGGGAGACCACGACCAGGTGAGGGAGGCAGGTGGAAAAGGCTTTGTGCCTTCCCTGCTCAGAGGGGATCCTCAGCACAGCCCTGAAGATCTGCACATAGGACACCACAATGGAAACAAAACACCCAAATGCTAAACAGGCACTAACCACAAGAAGCCAAAGTTCTCTGAGGTAGGAGTGTGAGCAGGAGAGCTTGAGGATCGGGGGTGTTTCACAGAAGAACTGTCCCAGGGCATTGCCCTGGCAGAGGGGCAGGGAAAATGTACTGGCTGTGTGCAGGAGAGCATAGAGAAACCCAGTGACCCAGGCAGCTGCTGCCATGTGGACACAAGCTCTGCTGCCCAGGAGGGTCCCGTAGTGCAGGGGTCTGCAGATGGCCACGTAGCGGTCATAGCACATGATGGTCAGAAGACAATACTCACCTACAATGAAGAAGAGAAAGAAAAAGACCTGAGTGGCACATCCTGTGTAGGAGATGGCCCTGGTGTCCCAGAGGGAGTTGGCCATGGCTTTGGGGAGAGTCGTGGAGATGCAGCCCAGGTCGAGCAGGGAGAGGTTGAGCAGGAAGAAGTACATGGGGGTGTGGAGGTGGTGGTCCCAGGCGATGGTGGTGATGATGAGGCCGTTGCCCAGGAGGGCAGCCAGGTAGATGCCCAGGAAGAGCCAGAAGTACAAGAGCTGCAGCTCCCGCCTGTCTGCGAATGCCAGGAGGAGGAACTGGGTGATGGAGCTGCTGTTGGACATTTTCTTGCTGTAGGCATGGATTACTATCCAAGGAAGGAAAGAGAATGACAAATGACATGAGACTAGATTGAGAAACATCAAAGCCATTTCTTATACACCCTCTTCTTTCTACACACCCTCTCTTTTCCTTTTTTGGGAGCCCTTCCTGGGTCCCTGGTCAGTGCTGGTCAAGTGAGCAGCAGTTTCTGGCTGCCAACAGGTCAGCCCTGCTCTGCAGTGGTGGATCCATGGAAACAGTGGGGACAGGGGTCATTGCTGGTGTCCAGCTTTGTCAGAGGAAACTGCTCTGGAGAATGTCTGGTCAGTGCTGAGGATCTGGGAAGGCAGAAGCAGTTTGAGACTTTTGGGGTTTTACAGCTTCCCCCATTACTCCTGGACAGTGTTGCCAGATGCGAGAAACCCTCAGCACTGCTGCTGTGCTCAGGGAGAACAGAGAGAGTCCTGTGAGGCAAGAGGATCGTTTGTGGCTCAGTGCAGGGTGAGGGGAGCTGGTCTGTCCCTTTGACTTGCTCCCAGCCACCCAGACTTGTGCCTCTCTGAAGTAGCAGTTGACCACACTCACACACCCTGAAAAGCCTCCAGGCACTGCTGAGGGCAGAGGGATTCAGCTCAGACATCTACAGATCTCACTTTTTCCTAGAGGTCTCAGCACTCCTCACCCAGGACACATGTAGCTCATTTCACCAACCAATCAGCATTTTCCCTATCATAGCATCTCTTTGCTTTTCCACGGGGCTTTCAGAGAACACAAAGCTGCTCTAGGACAGGTTTGTATCCTGGAGCAAAGATCACAGCTTGGAAAAAACAAACAAACAAACAACAAAACAAAAGTCTACAAGAAAATGGCCAAGGGTCCTAATAATGACATTTGATTAAGGGGAATTCTGCTCAGTCCCCAGCCCCACAGACTGCATTGCCCCCAGTCCCACAGGTGAAAGCTGGAACATGCTCACATGGACATAGCAGCATGAATGGATCCACAAGCTCAGAGTGTGACTTATGTTGATGAAACTTCCCCTCCCCAGAGAGTCTGACAGCAAGAATGAGATGACAATGACTATGACATAGATGGGTGAGAAAGAAGCCAAAGGTCTGGCTGAGAGGGGTCAGGACAGAGGTAGCAGACCCTCAGGACAGTTGAGTGGCTGAAGGCAGTTGAGAAGGCTCCTATCAGACCTGCTGATCACTCAGAATTCTAGTTCAGGATTGCTTAAAATGCAGAGCTCCATTTCCTTTTATCCTTTTCTCTCCCCCCTTGTATCTTCTTGATACAGGAAACTGAAAAGACAGACTTAGGAAAGCGCCTCATCTTTATAGAAATCCCTGCCAAGATCTTCCCCTTGAGAATTTTTTTCAAGGGGATCTGGAGCTTTAAGCAGCCAGGACCTTGCTGGCAGTCACTCCTTCTACACACAGTTTCTCCACACAGCACCATGGCGAAATCCCCAGAAAGCTGAGAGCTGATCCTGGTGGGCAGCAGAGACCCTGCCCCAGCACACACCACCTGGAGTGCACGGACCCTGCTCTGAAGGACAACTCTGGGCACCCCTGCCCACACACTTGCCTGCACAGCTATTAAAATTGCCCAAGAAGAGCTCTGTGTCGGTGTCCCCACACTTTTCTTAAGGATCCAATGAGCTGTGGCTGTGCCAGCTTAGGGAGATGTCTCCAGGAACTGCACTCACATTGCCCTGCACTCAGAGACTCACCATGTCAAGGACTGCACAGATTTCTCCTCCACTGAACTCTCACTCACCCCCCAGTCCTGGCCACCTTTAAGCTCTCCCTGCCTTGCTCATCTCCCTCAGACCCCTGGCAGTGCCCTTCTCCCTGGTGCACCAAGCAGAGGAGCTGCTCCTGGGCAGAGCTGTCTCTCTGCAGCACTGCCCACTTGCCAGCAGCTCCCTCCATCCCAGGAGCCCAGCTCAGCATGTTAATGAGCCCTCTGGTGGGTTTGGTGCTGAGTTAATGAAGCTCAGAGAAAGAGAGGAAGTTGATGAAACCTCTCAACAAGTCCAAGTCTGAGTCCAACTCCAAAGTTTCTGGCAGTGTCCCACTGAGGGACATGACTGAGGAAGTGTCCCCAGGGTGTGGGGTAGAGCAGGAAGGAGGAGGCAGTAATGGCAGGTGCAGAAAAGGAACGTGACTTTGTTGCTGAGTAACCCTGGGTGAGTTTCATGACTGTAAAGGTCCCAGCCCTGACCCCTTTAACAAAAGGTGCCAGCCCTGACCCCAGCTCCTGGGAACGGAGATCGTGTCCTTCCTTCATCTCTCAGGGCTCTCCCTGGGACACTGGGATGTGGAGATGTGCAATGCCAAGGGCCTGACTATGGCACAACTCCGCCCTGGCTCCTGTACATGGACAAGAAGTCTCTGAGACCCTGGTGCTGTTGTCTCCCCAGGGGCACCAGTGGCAGAGACAGCAGCCATGAAGAAAATCATGTAGAGGTTGGCTATATCAGGGGGGTTTCTGCTTTTCCACATTCCTCTCCTATCTCCACCACAGCCTCTCCTACAATGTCCCATCCTCTGTGCCTGTTGCCCGGAAGGCTGTAGACCTCCACCCAGCCACCTCACCTTGCTGTCACCTCATTTTACTGATATCTTTGCCTCCCACTTTGAAACAGAAAGTCTTGGGCTGACCAGGGCTCCTTCTGGGTAGGGGGGTTTCTGCTTTTCCACATTCCTCTCCTATCTCCACCACAGCCTCTCCTACAATGTCCCATCCTCTGTGCCTGTTGCCCGGAAGGCTGTAGACCTCCACCCAGCCACCTCACCTTGCTGTCACCTCATTTTACTGATATCTTTGCCTCCCACTTTGAAACAGAAAGTCTTGGGCTGACCAGGGCTCCTTCTGGGTGAAATGGTGCACCACAGCACAGCCCTTTGAATGTAATTTCTTTCTCTGTGTCTCCACTCTGGATCTTCCTAGCTCCACTTTGTGGCATTATTTCCTGCCCAAGCTCTTTCCCACTTTGAAGAAAAGCTCTAGTAGAAAGTTTAAAACCCACCCTTCAGGAGCTACCAGGCCACCCCTCTACTCTCCTCAGCCTGCACAGTACAGAACCTTGGGCCCTCAGCCTCTCTAGACTGGCCATGTGCTTGACACTTCCCAAACCCATCTTGGAGATCTCTGGGGACTCTCCATGGTGTTTGCAGATGAAAACATGCTGGTCACAAGCCAAGAAAGATGAAGTGAGGCTTTTTACCAAGGCCCATCATGGCAGAACAATGGATAATGGCTTTAAACTGAAAGACGGGAGATATGAAGTTCATATAAGGAAGAAATATTTTAGGATAGGGTGGCAAGACACTGGAAGAGGTTGTCCTGAGAAGTGAATGCCCCATCACTGGAAGTGTCCCAAGTCAGGAACTTTAAGCAACCTGAACTAGTGAGAGATACCCCTGCCCATGGCAGAAGGGTTGGTCTGGGTGCTCCTTTAGGTCCGTTCTAAGCCCAAACCATTCCATGGATCTTTGACTCTGATATCCCCAGCTCCTTCTCCACAGGGCTTCAAATGCCCACATACACAATGTGGGCATTTTAACCTGACCTGGTCCCCAGCACTCCCATAAAACTGGAAGAATTGCCATTTCTAGGCCATGATTTGCCATGTTGTCAGAGGAACAACTCAAACCCCAAAAGGCAGAACATTAATTCAAAGACAGTTCCAGCATATCTGCGAGAAAGTTTCATCCAGTGGGTCAATGGGAGAGCCTCCCAGGATGACCTTGCCAAATGAGGGTAGGAGGTTTCTGCCTCCAGAGGTCTGAGACTCATGGTAGGAAGCCAGAAAGTGCCTTTGGGGACTGGGAAAGCCTTGCCCTGGGATGCTGAGGAAAGGACCAAAGGAAGGGCAAGGGTGGGCTCCAGATGATTTCTGGAGGAAGAAGCAAGGGAAAAGGGGAAAAAAAAGGGTGAAAGGAGCAGTTTGTGTGTCAACAGGGGCTGGTCAGTGCCCTGCCTTGGCCATGCCCTGCACCTGATCTCTGCAGCCTGTCCTGTTTCATTCATACCTCCTGATCAGGAAGAGGAAGTAGATGAGGCCTTCTTCTGACAACAGGAAGAAGCCTCTCATTTGCAGGCCTTGGTTCTCATGGGGGACTTACACTATCCCCACATCTGCTGGAGGGCCAACACAGGCTGATTTGGGAGCTTGTTGATGACATTGCCTTGACCAGGGTGTCTGAGGAGGCAGGGAGGTGAGTCACCCTCTAGGACTTCATACCTACAAAAACCAGAGCTGGCCAGGGATGGAACAGTCATGGGTTAGAAGGGAGAGTTGGGGCTCCTGAGAGAAGAGAAGGGAAGAAGGGTAAGAGCTGGACTTGAGGGGAGCAGGCTTTGGCCTGGCTAGAAGCATGACTGGAAGAATCCCAGAGGACAGCAGAGAAGCAGAGAGAGCTGTTTCAAGGTTATGGATCTGGTCTCTTCCAGCTCAAGAATGGTCTGTCCTGAACATGCAGGAGGCCAAGCAAAGGTGACTGGTAGCTGGCAGGGATGAGAAAGGAGCTCCTGACTAAAAGGCTAGATGGGAAAGTGTTAACCTGTGACAGGAATTGAGAGATTACAAGTTGGGGGCAGCATGGCCTTATAAGGTATCTTCGGCCATGAGATCACAAAGGGGGGCAGCAGTATAGCCTTATATGGTATGTGTGGCCTTATATGTTATGTATAGACATAACATAGACATCACAAGGGAGTGGCAGGACATGATATATATGGCCATGACATTGCAATGGAGGGGCAATTGGCCTTATATGGGATGCATGGCCCCAAGATCACAATGGGAGATTTTCTGGTACGTTTCTGGCATATTCCAGCAGATTATCAAGCTGTGTGTTGTGGTTGACACCCAAGAGGGAAAGGATGCCATCCAGAGGGACCTTGACAGGCTGTGGAGGTGAGCCAGTGCCAACAGCATGAAGTTCAACAAGGCCAAGTGGTGCTGCACCTGGGTCGGCCCAACCGCAGGCACAAACACAGCCTGGGGGAAGAA